ATTCGATTCAGACCACAGGCTGGTATTGTTTAAACTGCGCCAAAACGCGGAGGAGATCCGCCGAACACTGCTGAGGCGATAGTTATACTAGATGATGCAAGTCGAGCGATAGCAAGCTCTCTAACTAGCATTACAACGGCCAAAACAATGCCACAAAATGATATGTGCAGTGAATGCATATATAAAAGGAAATAATACCATTGATAATATTTATTTTATTTTTAAACTTCATGCACAAAAGACAGAACTTTTTACACCTGCCTTTTTTGTCTCTGCGTCACCCATAGGTTGACTGGGAGAGAATGCCTTAGGCATTAAGTCCGCCTATACACAATGTAATTTTTTTTGTGTAAAAGTTTAAATAAATAAATAAAATATATAGGCGGACTTAATACTGACAGCTTTTTCTACCAGTCAACCTTAGCGAGGTACTGAGAAATTTAAATTGTTTATAGTGCTAATCTTTGCACTTAAGATTGAACATTACAATATGTAGAAAAAGTGCGAAAAGATTGTCGCCGCTGTGGGAATCGAACCCACGTCTTCGGCATTCGCGGCCTGACGCTCTAGCCACTGAGCTAAACGGTTGATTACCACACCGTCGAAAATCTTAACGCATTCTTCTACATTGTTTTCTTAGCATTTGAAGCAATGCTTGGCGCCATCTATTGTTATATCCTTTCCAGCATACAAACAACTTCGAATATCGTTTTACAACGATAATTCAAACGAGATATGTCGCCATTGCTTATTAGAAATTTAAATTGTTTATAGTGCTAATCTTTGCACTTAAGATTGAACATTACAATATGTAGAAAAAGTGCGAAAAGATTGTCGCCGCTGTGGGAATCGAACCCACGTCTTCGGCATTCGCGGCCTGACGCTCTAGCTACTGAGCTAAACGGCTGATTACCACACCGTCGAAAATCTTAACGCATTCTTCTACATTGTTTTCTTAGCATTTGAAGCAATGCTTGGCGCCATCTATTGTTATATCCTTTCCAGCATACAAACAACTTCGAATATCGTTTTACAACGATAATTCGAACGAGAGATGTCGCCATTGCTTTTTAGAAATTTAAATTGTTTATAGTGCTAATCTTTGCACTTAAGATTGAACATTACAATATGTAGAAAAAGGTTCGATTCCCACAGCGGCGACAATCTTTTCGCACTTTTTCTACATATTGTGAGGTACTGAGAAGTTGAGGTAGGTGCACAAACATATCCACTCCGACCGGGTTCCCGCCTTGACGTGGCGGAGGGGCTTAGTAGCCGTGGCTTGGTCCCCCACGGCGAAACTAAGAGGAACCAACACTGGGCCGGCCTAGAGGGCCGCTTCGAGTTGGCTCATTGAGCCCACTCTAGATGCGTGCTGGAGGGTGCAGGGGACAGGTCGAGGGTGGTAGAGGTGGAGCCACTCTCCCTGTCTTCTGTTACCGAGGAGGAGTCGAGGGGAAGAGGAGTGTCGGTATTGCGGTGCGCCGTTTTCCCTATCCTTCGCGGCCGAAAAGTGGTAAGCGGCGGAACCACAGACCAGATCCTCCCCTGGAGGCTGAGAGGCTTGCTGCTTATTATCACTGGCTCTCCTGGCTCCCATGGCCCCGGTCAGCGAACTCGGGGGAGTTCGTTGGCCGTGAAAATGGGGCCGAGTAAGAAGGCACGCTGAATGTTCCAACAACTATTTTTGAATAAAATTGTAAATTCATTTTAAAGTTCATATTTCGTGAATTTTCAGGGGAATAATTACAAATTATGGCAAGAAGTGACTCAGACTGAATCTGAAAGCGGTGCTCCACGACCATCAACTAAGAAAAAATTACGTACGGAAATTGTGCAAAAAAGTTAATACATGTAGGTACTATTAGTATACACATATAAGTATATACATACATATAGATAGAGCTAAAAAGTTTTACTTTAGTCGAGTGGTCTAAAGCACACTAGTTTTTTTTTAAAATAAATATATTTTGTAGACGTACCCATACACTAGAAAAACATTGTGTTCATCACGCAATATTTTTCTGGTAGTGGGGATCAAACCCACACTTGCGTAAGCGACAGTTTCTCTATCCACTATGCCCATTGCCGTGGATGTTTAGTTTTTGCGATGCGTACTATTAACTTCGTCACGTTTTGTATCATATAGAAAATATTATGCATAGAAAATAGCGGCTTTGTCCGTTTCCCTTTGCAAAATTGCTCACCTGCTCTTTATAAAACACTCACCTCGTGCCATAGCTCCCAAATCTTTGCCAAATCTGTGGAAACACCCTAAAGATTGTCGTTCACGTGTCTGTCCAGGTAACATCATAATTACCAGATCTCTGACGAAGCTATACATGATCTTGAGACGGTAACAGACGGGCAAGGCTGAACTTAAATTATGCTATTTTTATTTTTTTTTAATTATGGTTCTTAAAATTTTTTATTTTTTATAGTGCTAATCTCTGCACTTAAGATTAAACATTACTTTTTCTACAAATTTTAAAATTAAATTATGCTTCCTCAGTACTAGTAAATTTACAAATTGGTATTTATTATGCCGCATTAAATATTTATAAAATCTGAAATAATAATTAAATGAAAGTGCACGTTTTATTACTTATATCGGAAAAGAGGTCGAGGCACAGAAGTAGGGTGTGGTCATATATTTCTTTATTACTCGTGTGTATTTTCCGAATAGGTATCGAGTTATAGCGATACTGCAAATCTACTAATAGAAGGCGATCCCTGGCGATGGGATAAAATGTAAAAAAGCGTTTACCGAAGCTTGATTCGCCAAAATAAAATAGCTAATTTGCAATATGACATGCAAAAATCGACGAGGTGTGCATGCGTGACAACACTAATACACGAGTATTTATGAAATGTGATGGCAGGATGGGCAGGTCCGTCCGGGTAAGTACCACGACCTCACAGAGGGCGGCAGTGGAAGTACTATACTCAGAGTTTCGTCTGGTGAGTGAGGTAGCCGGGGCCCACTTTATTAAAAGGTGACAATGCATCTGCAAGCCTACGGGCGTTGAAAATCTCAATGGGCGGCGATTATCACTTAACATCAAGCGAACCGCCAGCTCGTTTGCCACTTTTTCACATAAAAAATACATCGTAATGATGAGACATTTAATGAGCGGAAACGAAACTTAGAAATAAGGTAAATTAAAAGAAATTGCGATACATCAAACCATTTGGTTCGAAACAAACATAAATAATGCTCGAAATCAAACAAACACAATTAAAATACACATTTATTGTAGAAATCATTGTAAACGAATAAAAAAACACAAAACAATACACTTAAAACATATTCTATCACAAAAACGCTCGAGAGGCGCATTTTCAGGTAATTTTTGAATTGACTTCAGGCATCGTAGCTTTGGCTCTCAGTCGGTGTGACATGATAATTACTCTATGGTTTCGAGTATTTTATGGTAACTTGAGATTTTTTTTTTCAATTAAAAATATGTAAGTTCGTAGTATAGCATACATTCGTCCACATTTAGTTTCGGGGTTTAATAGAAATTGCAAGCTTACATAATATTCAGGTATGTTTATAAATGGGTGTTTATAATGAATAAACTCTGGTGTCATATTTAAAAATTAGTAAGTTATTATTTTTGAAGCAAGTTCTTACAATTAACAAACTACTTTTTTAATGTTTAGATCACACGACTACATTTAAAAAAAAAACTATGCCGTAACTACTTAAATTAATTTTAAATGTAAATTCGTAGGAAAATATTATTCTTTAGGGTCGAAAGTTATTTCTTACTTTTATTTCGACAATATTTTTTTCAACCAAATCAATTTCTCCACTTGTACTATGAAAGGCACCTAATTTCCACTCAGACCCAAAAATTGGTCTCAAAAAGAGTATCAAAGAAAAACATTGTCAACAGGATATCATTTAAGTCACAAATGCCGTAAAAACATATCATTATGTGTATATTTGTATTGAGTGTAAATTCTTGACAAGGTTTTTTTATCATTAATTTACATGCAAGTCTATTTATTTAGTCACGTCAATAATGCCTATAGTTATGAAAGCTTCCTGCGTAATACCATGTTGTCATTTGATCCAAATATGATATTGGCAGTCTTACTAGACAAAATCGTATTCTGTACTCTTCTATCGATCAAGGAAAATAAATTGGTATTATAGCATAAAGTATTCATGCTAGGAGAATGAACGTAGAATGTGATTACTCATTCTATTACATAACGGACAATGGGAATTTACAGGTTTGTGCTAAAGACATAATAATAGTGAATAAATGTTTTTTTTTTTCACTGTACGTTTGACTTTAGTACTTTTCGTATATTTATTGTGTATATCAGATCGAAGAGATTCGAGGTTTGGTTATCGTGAATAATTAATAAGAATAAACCAACGTTTTCTACTTTTGTTAAGTAATCATTATCGATCTTCTGTTGTGCGTAAGTAATAAAATATTTACGATACAATTTACTTTGTCAGGTTGTTAAACATACATTGATGCGAAAGGGTCTTTAGGTTACGTTTTATATAAACTGTTAGGTACCTAAACGTTTACAAAATTTAATTATAAACGAAAGTATTTTTGAGAAAATACCATCACGTGTTAATCGCAACAGATCAAGAAAATCGAGTGCATAAATCACACCAATTTCCTTTTCAAGAGGAATGTAATATACAATTTTTTGTACCCTACAGTCATGACCATATTCGAAAAGATTGTTTAACAATTATCACCAATTTTTATTAAAACATAAATTGATGACTGTATGACCTCCATTTATGACCAGATGGCTTAACGGAATGTTACATATCATAAGAAAGATTCTAGTAAAACGTTATCACAAACTATATGGCATCTCTTAAGAACAAAATTCGTTCGTCAAATTGATAAGATATCGATCGTAGTGAGTTTTCGTTTTGTGCTAATTCTTTCCCCCCGAGATGAAATGCTGCATAACGTATTGTGCTTTCGTGCTCAACTATTTACAAAGCAACACTATAACGACCATTGAGAACTGAAACAGAAGCAAAACAAAAATAAATTATAACATCGAAAACAACGGATTTGATAAGATTAACATAATAAACTAAATAATAGAATAACAATAAACGACATATCTATTTACTAAGGACTGCGGGAAGGATAATAATGTACATTTTGTTATTATATCTTAACAACTAATATCTTTTTTTTTGTAATCCCTTTGAGAGAGGTGGTAGTAATAAAATGTTTAGATATAAATTTATTCTAAACATATGTGCGGTTGCACGATACATTGTGCAATAAATATGTCGCCTTATGCAATGAATACGATGCGGGAAAAGCCAGGCACTATTTAATAACGTGTTCTCAGTTATTATGGAGATAAGTTGGCCATGTATTGTGGTGGATTTTATGCTGTTATGCGGCCAAAAGTACAAAAAAAATATCGTAGTTTTTCTCCATGAGTGGAGTCAATAAAGGCAAAAAAGGAAATTATATGGGGGAAGGAGCTTCGCGTGGCGTTTATTTTTTCTGTGAAATCGTGTCCCTCCAGTTATGTATCCCGGTGAAGTCATTCGCATTGGGTGATGTCAGTCCCATCTCACAAAGCGTGTAAATTAACAGTGACTTCGTCAATTAACGAGATACAAAACTAATTCGTCGTAGAACAGATTCCTAGACACCCGGAATATGCAACACTTGGATGACTCCGTGGCGCATTTGCTAAGGTTTTGGCTTCAGCGCCGCGGGTTCGATTCCCGCACGAGACCCCTCTTTGTGTGACCATTGTTACAGATCAGGGGTTGTCCACGAGAAGTTAATGTATGTAAAACGTCCTTAAAACACAGGATGATGTTAACCCACAGTAAGCGGCAATTTTTCGAAGGGAAGACTACAATAGATCTTCCGACTGGTCGTCGGAACTTACTACCAAAGCCCTCCCACAAATACAATGCAAGAATTGGCGCGTTCTAATATAGGCGCAAAACGAATATGTCATCACCTGGGCATGTTAGTCCTCCTGTACGGCCTAGCGTTCCGGTACACGTGGCCGTCCTGCGACACGAGCGTGCCGCGCGAGCTGCACCGCGCCGACGACACGCTGCGACACGACAAGCTGCGACACGACACGGGCGACGGGCTGCGACACGACTCGGCCGAACCGAAGGCGCGCCGCGAACGCTCGCCCGCGTCCGCCGGCTGCGGCCCGTCTGCGCGCAACGCGGAAACCGTGACGCGTGACGCGTGTCGCGACTCGCGTCACGCGCGCCGTGCCCATTGCGAGCGTGCGTGACGCGTGGCGCGATTGCGTTCAACAATCGCGAATGCTCATCGGTCGATGCTAGTGGCATAGCCCTGCGTTAAGCGCCACGTGACTCATGACGGGTGTCTCATGACGCGTGTCTCGTGTCTGCGACCGCGCTCAACAATCGCGACTGCGAGCGACGCGCTACGACTGCGTACGTCACATCTATCGATGCTAGTGGCATAGCCCGCCGTTAAGCGTGACGTGGCTTATGACGCGTGACGTGGCTCATGACGCGTGACGTGCGAATGCAGTTTTAGGGCAAATGGCAAGTGTTAGTTACTACGTCTGACATGACGCACGTAACACATAGATAAGTGTCGTTTCTGAAGGGAGCCATTCGATATTCATTGATTAGCTCATATCATTGTTTTCTTCTTCATGGGAAAACTTGATAAGCTAGCAGCATTTCATCATTACCGCTGCCTGTGGACATTTATTACTCCCGAGACTAAATATACGATGCCAACTTTCAAAATAGTGAGTTCCGGCTTCCTCGCTCACGAACGAAACGCGAGAGTATGGTACATTCAATTCACGTTTTTATGAGATCGTGGTAGCTCCGGGGGTGTGCCACGACCTCACAGAAGACGAGAAGTAGTAGAGGCGTTATACTTTCGCGGTTCGTCCGCTGGAAAGTGACCGGCGTTTCTTAAAAGTGGACAGGGCAAACGCCACCCCACGGTAGACCGTGGCGGTGGTCACTAGGGCGCCATCCATTGCTAGGACACCAGGTGAGCCGTATCATCCATGGATAGAACAGACCTTGAGCGGCGTCGTCCGCGGCCAGGTCGGGGCTGCTGCCCCACGGGCTGAGCGCGCCCAGGGGGCTGCACAGGCCCCCGGACACCAGCGTGTCGTCCTCGTCGCCCGAATCTGCGCGACAGCAATGAACGGTGTAGTGAATGAATGGCGGCGAATGAATGAATGGAAACGACCGGATCGATAAAGGGCCATCGCGCCGCACCGTTAAGTCTGAAGGTTGTCGTTACTAAACGGATTATTAACAGTGAATGACGGATCGAGAACGAAATCTAACAAATTATTATGGATCTTTGTTGAACTCTAATCGAAAGTTGTTTGGATGCTTGCTTAATTGGTTATTTTTGGTTTTATTGGTTAATTGACTATTGTGTAGTAAATTACACAATATAAGATAATAAAAGTATATCAAGATCAAACTATAATATAAGTATAGGCAAACCCAAACCTTCGTAGACGTCGAAAAAGTTCTCCTTGGATTCGGTCTGCGACGATTTTTTCTTCCTCTTACTCTGTAACAGAGATAAATTATTTGGTAATTGGAATTATACACGATTATCAATACTAAATCAATCAATATGAAAACAGTATTGTCTAGGAAGATAAAAGTAATATAAGAGTGCTAGTCATAACACTTATTATTGGCGATAATTAAGTAGAGCTTCAATTTCTCTCAAGAGCACTAAGCTGCGTTTCGCGTTTGTTTTATGATTTCATTCATAAGAGTAATAATTTAATTTAAATATTACTTTTCATTTTAAGTGCCAGTCTCTGCAGTCAAGATGAAACTTTAAACTAATTTTTTTTTTTATAGATTAATGAACAAAACCTGCGTCTTCTTGTTTCGTAATCTTTTCGAGAAAACAATATAATTCGAAATAACCGATTGCAATTTAGAGGCGAAAGAATATCGAGAACAAACCTTGGTCATCTCGTCGGCAACGGACATCTCGAGCGCGTGGTGCGTTCGCGCCAACGCCGCTAGAGCCTCCTCCAGCACGCGGTTTCTCTCGATCTGCGTCACGTCAGATGGCAATTACTCGATTTTATAATAGTTTTTTTTTTATGTGACAAAGTGGCAAACAAACTGGCGGTTCACCTGATGTTTAGTGATAACCTCCATTGACATTTGCAACACCCGTAGGGTTGCCGGTGCGTTGCCATCTTTTGGTAAGTGGCTTACATTGGATATATGTTTGTTTTTCTCGATTATTATTTGTTTGTTTAAAAAACTTTACCATTATTTGTGGATAGAATTATCTTGTGTTGTAAGTACGTTTTATAAAAAAACTCAAACACGAGTTGTGAGTGAGGTAGGCGGGTCGCCAATTTATTATTAATCACAGATGCAAAACTACGCGTGTCGAAATGTCAACGGGCGGCGGTTATCACTTAGCATCGGGTGAATCGCAAGCTCGCTTGCCTCCTTCTTACATAAAAAAGGAGTGTCCCCAATATTGTAACAAAAATCTCGTGGTATGACGGTGGTGGGTGGACGGTGGAGGGTGGTGGTGGACGGTGGATGGTTATTGTGGACGGTGGTGGTGTACGGTGGTGGTGGTGTACGGTGGTGGTGGTGGACGGTGGATGGTTATTGTGGACGGTGGTGGTGTACGGTGTAGGGTGGTGGTGGACGGTGGATGGTTATTGTGGACGGTGGAGGGTGGTGGGCGGTGGATGGTGGTTGTGAACGATGGATGGTGGTTGTGGACGGTGGAGGGTGGTTGTGGACGGTAGAGGGTGGTGGGCGGTGGATGCTGGTTGTGGACGGTGGATGGTGGTTGTGGACGGTGGAGAGTGGTGGGTGGACGGTGAGGGCCCACCTCCCTGGCGAGGCGCGCGTGGTCCCTGTCCCTGGCCTGGGCCACGAGCGCCGCGCAGTGCCGCAGCGCGTTCAGCGCTTCTGCTCCGCTGCCGCACGCGTGCTGGAAGCGCTGCAAATACAAACGAATACATTATTGACTAGTTTGATCAAATGGTGTAGTGGGTAGTGAACCCGCCTCTTGCTCCAGAGGGTGTGGGTTCGATCCGCACTACTAGCAAAATGTTGTGTGATGAACGAAGTGTTTTTCCAGTTTCTGGATATGTATATGTATTCATTTACAAAAAAAAAATAAGTTCAAGTATGTTTATCAGTTATCTAGTACCCATAGTACAAGCGTTGCCTAGTTTGGGACTAGGCATTGTTGCGAAAAATACAGGGAGATTTTTTGAGAAGTGCCCAAATTTACTTTTTTTTTGGAAATAAAAAGCAGTTTTTATTTCCAAAAAAAAATGCCATTCTATTCCTTAAAAAACAGAACGTGTTGACAATGCGGTAGTCTTTCATAAATGCACAGCATTTATATATATATATATATATATAATTTACTGTGCACGAACTTGTGTGCGTGTTAGTTATAATTGATTGCGAGTAAAATAAATGAGTTGCGTATAAATTACGCTCTTTTTGAGATAAGTTCAAATGAATGTAATTAATTATTTACGAGTGATTTTAAATATTTATCATTTATGTCTTGAATTTAATAAAAAAATGGATACACTTAGAAAAGCCACTCTGTATTTATACAGGGAGAATTTACAAGAAGTGCCCAAATTTACACAGAAAGTTCAGACTCGGCAGTATAATCGTATGATGAAGTAAAAACAATATTTTTTTTTTCAAATAATTTGCCATACTATTCCCTTAAACACAGAACTTGTTGTGACAATACGTTAGTCATTCATCAGCCATCGTCAGTCAACAAAACTAAGCGCTTTTTTGATTTGAAATGCAAGTATTTAACCATCCTTTTGGCAAGCCAATTAACATTGAACAAGCCATTTGACAACTGATTAATCGATTTCTACGTTGATGGACTTTTTTTTAACTATGGGTCAAGCAATAGTGTTCGCTGTTGCATGAATGGGCACGTCCGTCCGGGTAGAAGGCCGGCGTGAAGTGGAAGTGTTACACTTCTGCGTTTCTTCTCGCGAGTGAGGTAGCCAGGGCGCCCTTTAATAAAAGATGGCGACGCAGCCGCAACCCCACGGAAGTTGCAAATGTCCATGTCCATGGGCGGCGGTCATCACTTAACGGCAGGTGTACCGCCAGCTCTTTTACCACTTTCTCAGAGAAAGAGAGCAAAGAGAAGGAGAAAAGAGAGAGAGAGAGAGGCGCTCACCATGTAGGCGGAGTGGTGCAGCGAGTTGCCGACGTTTACGCAGTTGTCGAGCGCGGCCACGATGGCCGAGCACTCGCGCAGCTGCGTGTCCAGCAGCGCCAGGCTGTTGCTGGCGGCGGTCAGCGCGTCCTGCATAGAGCCTGCGCCGCGTTCAGACGGATGGCGTTAAACGTTTGATCACAACTGCCCGGTTGCTATATTCGACGAACGGCCGCCAGTTACATAGCTTCGTAACTTTCCTAACGACTTGTAGTTTAAAGGAACGCTAGCAACTCACTTTCCGTAGGAAAACGCCTCGTTTTGTTGACATAGGAACCGGGCGTACACGCCCTTTCATCTACAAGTCGTTATGAAAGTTACGAAGCTGTGTAACTAACGGCCGTTCGTTGAATGTAGAAACCGGACAAATATGTTGTTGTCGTGGTTGTGGTATAGCGAAAATGTCATCATCATTATCAGCCGTGAGACGTCCACTGTTGAACATAGGCCTCCCCCTTGGAACACAACTCGACATTGAATTGAAAGCGGACGCCCGTACACTGATCTATCACGGCTTATATTATAATGTTCAATATTTATTATTGGTATAAAAAAATACCATTGGAAAGAGAGTAGATTAATTTCACGCACTACCTATGCGATCGTCGTTTGTCGTACATTTCGGATTTTCTCTTTCAAAAGGTGTAATATTTATCGCGTAGTACCGTCGCTATGGTCATTATTGTGGTGATCGTGATTACAAAGTGGTCGCCATTGCAGTAGCGATAGGATTGTGGTGTTCGTCATTAGAATAGTGGTCGCCGTTGTAGTAGCGATACTATTGTGGTGGTCGTGAGTACAATAGTGGTCGCCGTTGTAGTAGCGGTAGTATTGTGGTGGTCGTGATTACAATAGTGGTCAAAGTTGTAGTAGCGGTGATTTTGTGGTGGTCGTGACTACAATAGTGTTCGCAGTTGTAGTAGCGGTAGTATTGTGGTGGTCGTGATTACAATAATGGTCGTAGTATATGGTGGTGCAGTAGTGGTAGTATTGTGGTGTTCGTCATTAGAATAGTGGTCGCCGTTGTAGTAGCGATACTATTGTGGTGGTCGTGAGTACAATAGTGGTCGCCGTTGTAGTAGCGGTAGTATTGTGGTGGTCGTGATTACAATAGTGGTCACCGTTGTAGTAGCGGTGATTTTGTGGTGGTCGTGACTACAATAGTGGTCGCAGTTGTAATAGCGGTAGTATTGTGGTGGTCGTGATTACAATAATGTTCGTAGTATATGCTGGTGCAGTAGTGGTAGTATTGTGGTGGTCGTGATTACAATAATGGTCGTAGTATATGGTGGTGCAGTAGTGGTAGTATTGTGGTGGTCGTGATTATAATAGTGGCCGCCGTTGTAGTAGCGGTGGTATTGTGGTGGTCGTGATTGCAACAGTGGTCGGACATTGCACATAGCGACTCACCCAGCGGCTTGCACTCGTCGTCCAGATCTGCGGCCTCTGTGGCCTCTCGCGCCGCCTCGAACGCCGCCCCCGCCCACAGGTAGTGGCCCGAGTACGCGATGTGCTCGTTCAGCGCCGTTATCCACGACTGTAATGCAACGCCATCTACGATATCTACTACACTCTCTTCGCAAGCCCACACAAATCAGTAAATGTTTGGGCTAACACCGGTTATGACGATATAAACGATAATAGAATTTCTAAGAACACTAATTGATATAGTTAAGGATATTTATAACATGATTATTATTATTATTATTATTATTATATACTTTATTGTACACCACAAAGAATTTGATACAATTAGTATGAAATAAGTCTTAAAAGCTAGGTACAATAAGGCGGTCTTATCGCTAAAAAGCGATCTCTTCCAGACAAACTTAGGACGAGGAAAAATAAACTAATGAATAGTGGGAGGTGGTGTGCTCAATAAACTTACTTAATACCAAAATAGACTTAAATATAATAAGATAAACAAAATTATAATAAACATACATAAACATAAATAAATATATAATATATATAAATAAATACACGAGAGAAGAATTAAATCTGACATGATATTTAGGATATGATAATTAGGTATGATATTTTGATAACGCGTGGTTAGCTTGATGATCGAACGTGAACTGATTGATTGTCGCGGTATATTTTAATGCTCACAACGTATTGATGGACTTTAGGTAAAAAGTGCAAACGAAGCTGTTTGGTTCAATAGTGAACCGAACAGTAAACCTTAGCATACTAATGCATTAGCAGCATACTACTGACTCACAGACACCCAGAACTCCCTAGCTCTAGTTTACGACGGGCAGGGGATACCTTTATCCTTTGAAGTGGACGTAGTTGGTAGTGAACCTGCTTCTTGCGCCGAAAAGGTGTGGGTTCGACCATCACCACTAGAAAAATATTGCGTGATGAATATAGTGTTTTTATAGTGTCGGTGGGTGTAATTTGAGTGTGTTTAAGTATGTTCATCGGTTTTCTAGTGCCCATAGCACACGCGTTGCTTAGTTTGGGACTGGTGAAGGTTGAGCAAAAATGTTGTCCTTAACTATTTATTAACCGACTTCAAAAGGCGACTTCTCAATACGACTGTATTTTTTTTATGTCTGTTACCTCAGAACTTTCGATTGTTCGAACCGATTTTGATGATTCTTTTTTTATTTGAAAGCTGGTGCTTCCCATGTGGTCCCATATTATGTTAATTTGTATTTGATCTTGGGATTCGGAGATACCTAGGAAACTGCTAAAAATCAACTGTAAAATGAATACAGAGCGAGATATTTGAAGTCGGTTTTGTTTTTCGTTATTAAAAAAAATGACTTGTTCATTTATTGATTACTGTGGTAGGGTCACGCAACAGTTTCCACTGTTGCACGAATGGGCAGGTCCGTCCGGGTAAGTACCACGACCTCAAAGAGTACCGCCTTAAAGCAGAAGTGTTACACTTCAGCGTTTCGTCTGGCGAGTGAGGCAGCCGGGGCCCACTTTAAAGGCAACACATTCGCAACCCTAAGGGTGTTGCAAATGTCCAAGGGCGGCGGTTTTTACTCAAGGTCAGGTGAACTGGCAGGTCGTTTGCCACTTTTTGGAACGAAGTTCCTCATCGCGCGATGTGAAAGGGGGCTAGACGGAAAAAATCATCACGAAAAGTTGTAACGACACTTTTTGCTATAGTAAGCTATTGTAAGCTGTGCGGCGTGCGCATGTTTCTCTGTCTGTTTCTCTCTCTGTCTCTTACAGAAAGCAAGCCAGATATTTTCATTTCTATTTCGCATTGAACAGTGTGGTGTCGCGACGATTATTTTTGTTGAGTGTATACAGGCTTTTTGTACATAACAAATAATAATAATAATAATGAATTTATGATGAATTTATAATGAATTAATGAATCAGAACGCAATGCGGGCGTATTTTAGGGCAAAAGGGAGTGAAACTGGAGGGTTTGCGTATCGGGCAAGGATGCATCGCTTTTTTGCTGAGCTGGAGCCATCTTTAACCGTCACGGAGCAAAACCTAGCAGACAGAGTTCGGTACATCATGCGCTCAAAAATATTTGATGATGCCGAGCTCGAACGACTTCGACGTTAGGCTGTTCCCTCATCGGATGAGAATGCAGTAGCCGGAAATGCGACCCCGCAACCTTCGGATCTCGCAGGGTTACAAGCGGAAGCGGAGGCCGCGTTTTACCCCCCCGGCTCCTGTAGATTCGTGCGATGATGGAATAGTCGCCCAAGAAATAGAGCAGATGAGAAGTATATTGGAGGAGGCAATTCTGGAGGTGCGCGAAACGCCTCTCGAGTATCGACCACGTCTCCCCCGCATACCTCTAAGTAAGCGGAGTCGGTCTGTCGTGAGGTCTCTTAACCCGATGCTGGCAACCTATTTGGAAGCTAGCCGGGATCTTTGCGATACGGACTCAATTCTCTTTCGTGCTGCACTGGCGGTATGCCGAATCGTTGGCGCCAAACTTCCCAAGGCTGGACGTGCTACCAGACTAGGTAGCACTATCCCAGCATGGAGAAGAAGAATTGAGGACCGTTTCGCAAAGGTAAGGGCCATCATCGGCAGGCTGATAAGCTTCAGGTCGGTCAATAATAGGCCCAGAATTGTGCGCACCGTTAGGATGGCGTTCGCTGGGACCAACATCAACTTGTCCCAGCCAGATATTACGCAAAAACTAACGGAGCGCATAGATGACCTGAAGCGGAGGATCGCTGCTTGGGGGAAGCGGATTCGGAGATATACCGAGAGGACGGCGCGGTTTAGCCAGAATCGCCTCTTCCAGAGTGACCAAAAGAGGCTCTACAAATCTTTGGAGCGACCAATGAGCTGTGAAACGGGCCAAGGACCGGACCAGGCAGACACTGTCGCCTTCTGGCGCAGCCTGTGGTCAGAGCCCGTAGACCACAGCGAGGGCCCTTGGACACAATTCGTGGCGAGCCAATGTGCAGATATTGCACCCATGGACCCCGTCGTCATAACACCCGACGACGTATCTGAGGCAGTCCGTAGAGCCCCGAACTGGAAAAGTCCGGGACTCGACGGGCTGCATCACTACTGGCTGAAGGGGTTCGTGGTGTGTCATGCTGTGCTCGCCCGACAGTTCCAAGAAGCTCTCGATCAGAGGTCACTCCCGAGCCTCTTTACTACTGGGGTCACTCATTTGGCCCCATAACGTGTCTACCTACCATCTATAAGACACTGACACCTATTCTGAGCATGAGAATCACCCGGCATATTAATATGAATCGGATTGTCTCGTGCTCAGAATGGATGTCGGGGCGGTGGTCGTGGAACCAAGGAACCACTTCTCATCGCGGTCATTGGCAAAATGGTTAAACGCAACCGTCGGAACTTCTCCGCCGCCTGGATAGACTACAGAAAGGCGTTCGACTCGGTGCCCCATACATGGCTAAAGAGGGTCCTCGAACTGTACAAAGTAGACTGTACAGTAAGAGACTTCCTCGAGCACTGTATGGGGCAATGGAGTACGATCCTTTGTCATCTAGGCGAGCGGATGATGGCTGCGGAATACCGGATAAGGATACAACGGGGTATTTTCCAGGGCGACTGTTTGAGTCCAATATGGTTTTGCCTCTCCCTGAATCCTCTCAGCGTGTTACTGGAGGGCTCGGGGGGAGGATTTCAGCTTCGGAGAGGAGGGACAAAAGTGACCCACCTTTTCTACATGGATGACCTCAAATTATTCGCCTCCAATCGCTCCCATTTGATGGAATTGCTTAAAGTCACTTGTGATTTCAGCAATTCTATCAAAATGGAGCTTGGGACGGATAAGTGTGCGGTCCTCCATGTCGAAAGGGGTAAGGTGGCTAATGCGGAGGGCATAGACTTATCTATGCCCGTTAACATAAGGACCCTCTCTGAGGCTGAAACATACCGATACCTGGGTATGTCACAAAATATGTGTATCGATGAGGCTGGCATGAAACAGTCAGTTCGTGACGTGTTTTTTGCACGCCTGACAAAGGTGTTTAACAGCCATTTGTCAGGCGTGAACAAGGCACGCGCTTTTAACGGCTGGGTCATGCCAGTCCTCATGTATACCTTTGGCATACTCAGGTGGACTTCAGGTGGAATCTTCGAGAGATACCCTGTCATATCACAGGGGCTAGGTCGGGGCTACCTGTCGGCAGGCGAGCGCGTCCTCCGGCGCGGCGTCGACCGCCAGCCGGTGGCTGTCGCCGTCGCTGAACGCGAGCACCAGCAGCGCGGGCTCGCCCCGCGGCGCCGACAGCTGCGCCCCGTCCAGGTACTTGCGCGCGCGGCCCCCGCCGCCCCCCGCACCGCCCCCCGCACCGCCCACCGCACCGCCCCCGCCGCCGCCGCGGGCCGCCTCCGCCCTTGAGCCGTAGTAGATGAGCACGCCCCGCTGCAGCACCGCCTGCGAATGGAGCAATCGTGAAGGTATGAAGGAGGGGGGGGGGGGGGGTCGCTTGCGAGTTTCCATTTTAGATTCCACCGCCGGTCGCTATCGAGATCGATAGAAACTTTTTTTTTTTTCTTAGTTTTTATATCACAGTATCTTACTGCATACACAGTATATCACAGTATCTTACTGTATTCTTACTACATGGTAAAGAACGCAACGAATGAATGAACGAACAATATCAAAAGTCAACACTAAAAGTGATGAAGTACATGTTGTAGTTTTAATTAACAATATATTCAGCGTTCGTGTGTATAAATTAAATCATAAAATTTAATGACACTATGGGAAAATGAAACGGAATAAAAATGCCAACAGAATAATAAGTAATTAAAAAAGTAATGAACAAAAACGTAAGAAAAAAATAACCTCGTTTACATTCACGTATCCGTGGATTGTTTATTCGGCACGTGCATAGACACAAAGAACAATGATGAGTGAGCTTAGCAAAATATGCTCTAATACCCTTGACTCACTGGTGCAGTTTTTAAGCCATCGACTTCGGCGACGGGGAGCGTTCGTTCAATTTCCAAACGGGACAAGATTTATGTGATCCTGATTGATGATTTGCCCTTTGGTAGCGGAATTTATTATAATTAAATATTTATTATGTGACTTTATTCGACTCTATGTAAATATTTTGCAAGAATCTTTTACTATTCTCAAAATAAATTTGGCGATGTAACATTAACAACTAGAGTCGAGGTGGCTGTATAAAGTGCCTAACAAGAGCAAGAAGGGGCCACCAACCCAAACTGGCCTCCAGCCGAGGAACCTGGACTTCTTGAGCAGGGGCCCCTCGAACCTGGCCGCGGTGCGCTGCAACTTCTGCACCGGCCTCACGCTCAGCACTTCGCGCATCTCGTTGTCCTTCGCGAGGTCCATCGCCAGTTGGCCTGTTGGTGGGGATTTCCTTATATTTAATACTTTCGAAATACGTACATAATTGTGCAGAATTAAATGAATGAATCAATGGATGGATGGATTAAAGAATGAATATGTTATTTAGTTTACACAAACACAATTATGCTCAAAATTAATGGAATATAAATTAAGGCATGAAACTAAAAGGCATGTACTCGGCTTGATTTATGCCCGGTTCCTATATTATATGTTCCTATATAACTTCCATAACTTTCATAATGACAATGCAACTACGGCCGTTCGTTGAATATAGGATCCGGACTTTACAGATTTTCAATACTTGAGTACGAAAAATGTAAACTATAAATAACAAACTAGACTAAGATTAAACGCAAAGCCGGTGTCCACATCATAGAAGCACGAACACACCGCTGTGGTTCCTGAGGGTCGTGTCGATGCCGTTCTGCAGCAGGAGAACCGCCACCCTCGCGTGGCCCCGGTACGCCGCGCAGTGCAGGCAGGTGTTGCCCTGCGCGTCCACGCAGTTTATGTTCGGCGGACTCGAGCCGCTCAGCTGAGAAACAAAATGCTAGTCAACGCTGTTCTGGATTCAATCGACTTCGCTTCAATTCACTTCATCATAATTTTTTTTTTTTTTTATGCGAAAAGTTGTCAAACGAGCAGACGGTTTACCTGATGTTAAGTAAATACCGCCGCCCATGGACATCTGCCACACCCGAGGGTTACAGATGCGTTGACAACCTTTTGAAAATTGGGCTCCGGCTACCTCACTCACCAGACGAAACGCGAAAGTATTTGTCATACTGTCACTTTACGCTGGTCTTCTGTGAGGTCGTGGTACTTACCCGGACGGGCCTGCCCATTCGTGCAACAGCCGAGGCTTCATCATCATTTCAGCCTGTTCGAGTCCACCGCTGAACATAGGCCTCCCCCACAGACTGCCATTAAGTACGATCCTGAGCCATCCGCATCCATCAACTTCCCGCACATTTGCACAGGTCGTCACTCCATCTAGTGTGGGGTCGTCCTACACTGCGTTGGCCAGTACGAGGCTGCCACTCGAGAACCTTTCTTCCCCAACCCCCTCTTCATGATAGAAGTCGAAATTCACTTTACTCCAATTCAATTCACTTCGACTCGCTTCACCTTCCAACTACCTTCGAAAATTGATGACGCATTGCTTCTCAACATTAGTATTTTATTTTTATGTTTGTGTAAAGAGAATTTTTTTTTTCAAAGATATGACAACTGATAAAGTTATTAACATAAATTTGGAAATAAAAATATATTTTGCCGATTCTGTCTTTTCATTTTCTATTACTGCTATTCCTTCACCCTAACACTTTTACGAATAGAGAGTAACTTGTTTTAATTTTAATTTGGACTTTTATATTCCTCACAAGTTTATAATTCATATTGTCCCAAAGGACAAACAACACGGCAGTGAGACATATTTATTTTATTATTTTTTTTATTTACTACATCACAAAAAATCTTTTGTTGTATATATATTCCAAATACGTTTGTAAGAAAAGGTGCAAGGAGTAGTCCGTGGCTCACCGGCGCTTGGGCTAACTGCAGGCGTCTATCCCCGGCGGTACACATATGTAGGCTATTGCTTTACCTTTTTCACTTCCAAATACATTACGAGGAAAGGTTTGAGAAGTAGCGAGTAGCTCACCAGCGCCTGTACATCCTCGAGGTGTCCCTCCCTGGCGGCGCTGAGCAGCCGCCTCTCGCGGTCCAGCCTCTCCGCCCTCTGCGCCGCCTCCAGCAGCCTCTGCACGTCGCGCGTCTTGCAAACGTCGCAGGCGGTGCGCCCCTCGCCGTTCATCACGTTCACGTCCGCCTTGTAGTTAAGCAGCAGTATGACCAGCTCCTGGAAGCGGGGCGTGGTACCGCCGCAACTTGTGCAACCAGCCGACTTATTGCCCAAATTCGATTCGAATTTCTTTCGGTTTTCGATTCGAACTCGATTTGAAAAGCTCACCCCCGAACCGAATCGAAACTAGAAACAGGATCGTGCGTTATCAAACCCGTTAACTGTATCCGGCCTATTACGTCACAGACAAATGTTCCATGTTTACGGTTATAACATCTTTCTTAGATAAAGTTTTAATTGCTAAATTTTTTTTTCGAAAAATTATTCGAACTTAGTTAGTTCCAATTAGAGCCACCCACTCGATTGTGCGCTGACGTCAGATTCAGTGGTACTAACTGCCATGATTTCGCGTCTAATTCGATTGATTCAGAACTCGAGTCGATTATCGTCATCTCAGCATGTCCTAGTACGCTCCTAAACATAGAATGATCCTGAGCCACCTGCATCCATTCATTGATCGATCGGAAAGGGTTTCGTTAATCGAAAAGCATAATACCGTTCGTGACGGCGACTGTTATATTGTATTTCAACTTGGGCCCGAAGTTTTCTAAGTGATTTAGGACTTTGGCGATTGCTTTTATTTTCCAAACATATGGAGGAAATACCGATGAGAAAGCGTAAAGTAAACGAACGAAACATCTATATCTGTATTATTTCAATGTAGGGTTACGGTCATACAGCCGTGATAGCTCAGTTTCCGGGCGTTCGCCTTTAATGCAATATACTCGAGCAACCTGACTTCGACTGACATCGCATTTCGTACTTCTAATATCAATGTCGTAAGGCATTACTGTACAAGTACATTATGACCCTAGTAAAGTAACAGCCTATACATGTCCCACTGCTGGGCAAAGGCCTCCTCTATACAGAGGGTATCAGGGCATAGTCCACCACGCGGCCCCACTGCGGATTGGTGGACTTCACATATCTTCGAAATATTTTTTTTGTTATCATTTCGAAAATATGCAGGTATCCTTACGATGTTTTCCTTCACCGCTGAGCACGTGATAATTCAGCACTTAAAATTGACAATTTCATTGGTGCCGGAACCGGGGATCGAACTCAGGTTGCTCGAGTATATTGAATTAAAGGCGAGCGCCCGGACACTGAGCTATCACGGCTCACGTCAGTTATATACTGTCAGTTGGTACAACCTAACAATTGTACCTACATTTCTTCCATCAAACTCACACTCAATTCTCTTCAGCCTCTTTTTCAGTGGCTTTACAAACAATTCGAGACTAGGCAGAAAATTAAATCAATATTACCAACACCATACAGGAAGTGATATCTCCTTTGCCGTTTAATTGAGTAAACTGTTTATTTATCTTTCATCTCGCTCGTACCTCGTTCCCGATGAAGGAAGCTTTGTGCAGGGCTGTGTCACCATTCTCGTTTACCTCGTCGACATTAGCCCCAGCATCCAGGAGCGCCTCCACAACATCCTTGTGTGCGAAATACGTGGCCAAATGTAGCGGTGTCCATCCCAGATTGCTTTTGCTTTTCCCTTAAAAGCAGACAGCCATGTTAAAAAAATGGTAATAGTATGAAAAAGGCAACATGAAGCTTGATACATCATGAAGAGCTGAACATAAACTCAAAAAAGTCCATGTGTCATCAAACCAAATGGTAGTAATTTATTAAACAACCAAGTATTTATGCAAATTACATTACCAAACTTGTTCTAAGAACCTGTTAACATTTCACAATCTCAAATTTATAAAGTTGTTTACTTTAATTCAACTACAAGCTAATATAGACTATTTGTCCCCTTACAAAGGTCTATTTTAGAATATCTTCATTTAATAACAATCCAGTTTATTAAATGCATATGATATGCTCTAACTACACTATGAACATAAACTGATACTTTTAAGGTTGATTGAGTCATAGTGGGAAGGTGTTTGATTACATTTTAACTCTTCTCATATGACACAATAGTACACCATTACATTGTTTGTGAAAAACATTGGTCTGTGGTCATTATCATAGGATTGCAATAAAATGTTTATAGAATTTTTAATAAAAATTGCTGAATAATGTTCAATCTTGAATACCAGTCCATGATATTTATAATAATGCCCATGATATTTATAATAATGCAACTGCCTCTCTAGTCACCTATCATATATTTGAAAAGTTATAGAATCAGATTGACCATTTCAATGTTTAGATCATGTTGATATATTTTTATTACCTTTATCAGATGACTTATGGACTCTTATAAAACCATACTTGACAATAGGTGCATGTTTATATGTGCAACAGTGCCAATAACTTCCCTGGAATACCAAGGCCACAAGGTGGACCTTATGTACATGGTATGTTTCCCCTTATACTGATAGGTGAAATTAAATTTTACAGTTATCTACAGTGCATACAAAAATCAATCAGTACACACCCCTAGACATCACTACACCGGACAATTATGGTTTGGGTTTGGGCCCACAAAAAATTCTTGTTTAAGCATGATGGACAAGCATGCAGTTTTTTCTTAGGATTGAACAAAACATTATCATGGAAATAAATGCATTATTGCAAATGTTTTAGCTAATTACAGAATAATTATGGTAATGGAAAGAGGTTACTTAAAAATTGACATTGTGAAAAATGAATTGTATAAACATATATTGTTACTATTAACAATATGTTTCATACAATTCATGTAAAATTAAAAAAATATAATGATTCTGCCTAAAAGGAGTGCCTAGGTGGGGAGGAACTTCAAATCAACTAATCAGAATGTTTTGTTATTCAAGAATTTTTAATTTCTATTAACCTTGTTGCAAGAAAAAAGCATGCCTGAGGGTGCAGTGAACATAAAATTTTTAAAATTGCCTACAGGCATATCATGACAGGCTCCATTTAATTGAACGTTATTGACACACTTTTTTCATATAATTAACATTATGTTCGTAATTGTGTTGTGCAATGAAATAAATTTTAAAATTTAATATATAGCTATTTGTTTTTTTTACATAGATTTTTATGATATATTCATGAAAATTACTCATTCTCTATGTCACCATTCATACAATATTTTATGATATATAATTTAACTAATCACTAAATAGAAACGATTATATTTATAATTGTTTCTCTAAAAATACCACATGTCTAATCATTATAAACATAAATTTTGAAGCGCAAATAAATAGTGTAACTCTGTAAGTAAAGAGATAATAATACCTTTGCAGTTTATATCCAAAGTCAATTTGCCTTCTAACTTTGCTTCAAGCAATGCCTTTACCACTGAAATCTCCCCATGTCTAGCTGAATATAGTAAAGATTCTTCAGCTTCTCTACCCGTATCCTCTTTGGCAGACATAATTCACAAAACTACTTTAAATATTATGTTTATCAATACTTCACATAACACTTTTCACCTTAACATTTATTTCCTACTAAATGTTTTATCTGCCGTTACTCCTTGACCATTTCACTAAAATAAATAAACAAGTCACAATTCAAATCACATTTCACAGTTCACAGATGAAAAAGTCATAAATACGCCGCTTTTTTTCCTAAGTAATTTGGAAGGAACCGCATAATTGTCAATCTGGTGTCTTTTTGGTAGTTTTTAAAGTTGGTTTGGCAATAATTGACAATAGAATTTTGCATCTGATATGGCCAAGGATTTTACATACTAACTAGTAAGTTAATTCCTTGGATATGACCACATCATTTAAATTTCTACAAACTTTAATAAAAGTAATTTATGTAATATAATTACAGCAAATTTTATTTCTATTTTTTTCACCTAAAGATTAATACCGAGACCGAGACTATCCTTTACAATTATATTAATTGTTACATTATTTATTGTTTTTTCAAATTTGTACTTTGTAGTTGTAACTTAATTTTGGATTCCTGTTTTAACATAATCTGTTTATTATATTTAATTTTTAACATTAACCAAATAATACTATAGAGTCGAAATGGGCGGCGGTAATCACTTACCATCAGGTGAGCCTCCTGCTCGTTTGCCCCTTTTCTCCATAAAAAAAAAAATCAAAGAAGTATCAACAGTTGACATATGATTTGACAGTTGTTTAATTTACTTATTTATTTATTTATTCATTCATTACTGCTCTACACCTATAGTTTAGCAATTTATAGCGATAATTTAAAAATGGATCAAAACCATCAGATATGTTGTAGGATCTGTTTAGATGTCGAATCAAAACATGTTTCTATTTTGGAAGACCCTACAGTTCTGCTTCACATCAAATCATGTCTAGCAATCAACATAGTACTTACGGACGATCTTCCGAAAGACATATGCGTAAACTGCGTGTCGCTGTTATGCGAGTTTTATACCTTTCAGCAAAATGCACGTTGCTCGCAAGATTGGCTAGAGACTGCTATGCAGGACAAGTTAAAAAAATCTTCAGAGACTAAGACTTACATTCAGCCATTACCTGACTCTGAATACAATTCCGATTCCCTTTTAGAGTTCTTAAATAATACTGCTAACATTGAAGAATATTTAACCAATTTAGGTAAGGAAGATATACCTGCTATAGTCAACATGCTGGACAAAACAAACGAGCACAACATAGAAATTGCTAAATCAAACACTAAATTAAGTAAACAGACCAGTCCCAAGAAAAAAGAATCACCAAAGTCTAAAAAATGTATTAAAATGGACATTGATGTGTTAGACTCGGATATTGACATTGTTAAAGAAATACTGTCAAAGGAAACTGAACCAAAATGTAAAGTTAGTTTTTTAAAGAATATTGATAAAACAACATGTTTTGCTTGCAAAGCCAAATTTGATACAATTAACAAACTATCTCAACATTTAAGTATATGCGATAATGCATTAAGAACATGTATACATTGCAATTTATTATTTGATTCTAAGAAAAAAATGAAGCAACATTCAATCACTCATGGCTTGCTTACACAAATGACTTGTTATTGTGGCAAACATTTTACAAGCAAAGAATTGCTATTACACCATTACAATAATTGCAACTTAGACCAAATAACTACTATGGGATTCCATCACCGTTGCAAGCAATGCGGAATCATATTTAAAGACAGATTTCAATTATACAAACATGCCAAAGAACATATAACTAAATCGGAAGAAAGGGTGTGCGATATTTGTGGGCATACCTTCATAGGTAATGACATGTTGGCTAAACACAGAAAGGAGGAGCATGAGAAGCCCGAAAATGTATTGTATAGGTAATAACTTTTTACCTTACTTTTATAGCATTAAGGATTGTTTTCGAATTTTTTGTTTGTTTTTTTTTATAAAATAATGTGATATTTTTATGCATGAAAGTAATTTAATAAGTCAATAGGAAATAAAAAGATATGTTTAAGAAGATATTCAAATGTTTTAAAAAAATTATTTGAGAAAGTGGATAATTTGACTTACCTGACAAAGATTACTGATTGTATTTCATAAAATTATTAGTAATCGTTCTAGATGTGGGTTGCTTTTTTGTGAATTTATAATTTATTTTAAATTACTTAATTTTATGAACTTTTATTTCATTTTATACTTTGCTAATATTAACATAAACCAAGAGACAAGACATTAATTTTGTCTCTTGGTTTATGTTAATATTGAATAAGAGAAATGTGATTAATGTTACTTTATACCATATATGCTGTATATAAGGTGATATAAAATGTTCAAGGAACGCTAATGTTTATTAGAAATTATTTTATGACACCATTGTTCTTATTACAGATGTAAAGTCTGTAATGAAACCTCCACAAGTCATAAAGAAATGTATATGCATGTTCTGAAGCACACAAATAAACAAGTTCTAAGCCGCCATCTGTGTGAATTGTGCGGTCACAGTTTTGCAACTAAAGCGAGTCTATTGCGACATTCTCTACAGCATTCATCCTCAAGCGCGCAACATTTGTTTCCAACAAAGAAGTCTCTGGAATTAAACTTAAAACAGGAGCATCGGCCTGAGCAAAATGAGAGAGTTATGTGTGATAAGTGTGGCCAGACTGTAAATAAAAATAAATTGAACATTCACATGTGTGTGTGATGGAGCTTCAGTGTGATATTATGAATCCTGTACAATGTACAATAAAACCCGTTTTAAGACGATTTCAAAAGGATCCAACCAAAAACGCGTCTTAAACGTGAAATTTTTATTATGTGGGATAGTGAAAATAAAACATACTATTACATGATGTATATTATATTAAGTGTTAAAAATGTATGAAAACATGTCTTAAGTTGCAGGGACTGGCGTAAATGGCCTATTAGCGGTTTCTACTGTATATCCAAAAATTGATTATTAATTTTTCTGGTAAATGATGTTGCATTTTAAATCAATAATATAATGCTTAACAGTCAAATATTTATTTGATACCAATACATAAAGTTAGACAAAACACATGTATAAAATACAAACAGTTATTCTATGATTAAAAAAATGCATCATTTTTGTCTGAAAGTAGTTGCGTGCTAGATTCAGAACAAGCAAATATTGTCATGAAAAGTACACCATAAACAAGAACAAACATTAAAACCCATCATACATAAGCATATACTTTCTATCTTTCTTGTTCATTTGTATGTGTCAGGTAAAATAAAACATTAAGATATCAAAGGTTATAAATAATTGGACTGAAAATTTTTTCATCTATTTACCAAACAAAAATACCGTAAATATGTATATACTTTAACAAAATGAAATACCTTCTATACAAATATTCTTAAATCCTAGTCGTCCGCTTGGGACGAAATTGGCGCTAAAAATTACAACAATACAGTCTTCAGACGGCTCAACAATAGCTAAACCACCCTCTGTGGCCAAAATTAAAAAAGTCCGTAAATATTATTCTTATGCGGTAAGGCAAGACATTGTGGAGGGCAATTAAAGGTTTCATGATCGAAGGTATGCTGATATCCTTTTGATTCTTCCGAATACCTGTAAATTGAGTCATATTCACGAAATCGATAATTAATAACATATAAAACCAATAGGATACGGCTACCCCGCTCCCCCCCCCCCCCCCCGCTCATGATGTTTTAATAAGTGTTTAAACATTGTTCCGTCCTATATCATTATATGACATTTATAACAGAATGTGACATTATATAGAACGTAAAGAGATAACAGTCTACAGAACTGCAATCTAATTACACGAAATTTGAGTGAATCACTTTCGATGCACCAGTGTCATATCTACATCGTATCTGTAGATAATATCATTGCCTCCCCCACAGACTGCTACGAAGTACATTAGCACAGGTCATCACTTCTAGTGGGCTGTGACACTGCGACGGCCAATACGAGGCTGCCACTCGAGAGCGTTTCTTCCCCATCGGCTATCGGTTCTACGAGCTATACGGCCGACCCATTGCCACAAAAACTTATTAATCTTCTAGGCTGAACTTAAAACTGCGGTCGTCAACCCACTAGACAGTTGTCGAGGCTGCGGCCAATAACACCTTTATGATGGAAGTTTAGGGAGAAACACATGAAGCTATGTTTTATGCGCAACGACAGAAACAGAAAAACTGTGAAATCAAATGACAGAAAATCTTTAGTGATAATAGTAAAAAAAGTAACAGCCTATACATGTCCCACTGCTGGGCAAAGGGCTCCTCTCTACAGAGGGTATTAGGGTATAGTCCACCATGCGGCCCCACTGCGAACTGGCGGACTTCACATATCTTCGCACTATATTTTTTTGTTATTATTTTGAAATATGCAGGTTTCCTCACGATGTTTTCTTTCACCGCGGAGCACGTAATAAGTCAGCACTTAAAGTTAAAAACTTCATTGGTGCCGGCACCGAGGATCGAACTCAGGTTGCTCGATTATATTGAATTAAAGGCGAGCGACCGGACACTGAGCTATCACGGCTCTTGATACTAGTAATGATTATAAATATTTCCGGACATTATATTCCACAACTTTACCTAGCTTGTACTTGTACTATGGATGTTAAGTAACTGATAAAAATACTTAAACATATTTTTCTAATGTAAATAAATACATATTACAGATATATAAGCCCAGACACTGAAAAACACTATATCAAACCCAGACACTGAAAAACACTATCAAACCCAGACACTGGAAAACACCATTTCACAATATTTTTCCGGTAGTGGTAATCGAACCCACGACCTCTGGCGCAAGAGATAGGTTCACTGTCCACTGCGCCAATCGGATCGTCTCCTCATATACTTAAGGAACAAGATAATACGTAATAATGAGCAAAATGTACAACTATTATGAAAGACACTACCTATAAAATATCTCAATTTTAGGCAGCCTCTGCCAAGAAACGAAAGCTGAAAATAGGAATTTACAATCGGGAAGTAGATCCTTACCTACCTTATCTCTTAGTAACTAGATATAGCGAAGGATGATCAACTAATCGATAATTAAGCTATAAAAGCATTAATAGGCTTTTATCGTTGAAAAATTGCATGAAAAGTCGTAGTTTCGATTCCCACAGGATACACAACTGTTTGAAGAAGAAAGGGTCTAGGTCGCAGTGAACTTTTTTTTATGCGAGAAAGTGGCGACCGAGCTGGCGGTTCACCTAATGTTAAGTGATACCCGCCGCCCATGAATAGTTGCAACACTCGTAGGGTTGCCACCGTTGCCACCTTTTTTTAAGTGGGCCCCGACGACCTCACTCACTTAATACTTCTACTTTACTACTCTACTCCCGGACGGACCTGCCCATTCTTGCAACAGAGAACACTGTGGCGTGACCTTATCACATTGGAACTTACTATATAAATATATAATAACACATATACGAATGATTGAATTGATATCTCGCTGCCGCTCGCTCGCCTTTAATTCAATATACTCGAGAAACCCTGAGTTCGATCCTCGGTGCCGGCACCAACAAAATTGTTAATTTCAAGTGCGAATTATCACGTGCTCAGCGATGAAGGAAAACATCGTGAGGAAATCTACATATTTTCGAAATAATAATAAAAAAATAGATATGTGAAGTCCGTTAATCCGCAGTGAGGCCGCATGGTGGACTTTGCCCTGATACACTGTACAGAGGAGGCCTTTGCCCAGCAGTGGGACATGTATAGGCTGATACTTTACTTTAACTTTTACATGTTCGAAAGATATCGATACATTCTTTGAAAGTTATAAAATATTTTACCCTCGATTATAATTCTAGCTGCTTCCTTCGGCGTGATCTCTGCGAAACAGGAGTTGAAACGGTGATTTGGCGGCGGGTGGAGGTCTGTTGACGTACACGCCAAGTACACGGAGGTAGTGCTGATGTTCTTCGTCCACGTGTCCAACCGCAGTTCCTCCGATATGGAGTCCATTAATCCTATTTAATAAACATAGCAGAAGTTATTTCCTATCATGCAAACCAGTTACATTTTTATTGCAGCCATAGACAAATTATTTATTTCATCGGCTTCACACACATCTATGTAGTGATTTGATTTCTGATGCGTGTTTATTTAAACGTGTTCTTCATCAAAGCAAACTAATCCTTTATTGTTTTATTTAAGATGTTCAAAGTGATGCTGTATAGTTCACGCTCGCTTTTAAGTAATTCAATATACTCGAGCAACCCGAGTTCGAATACCGGTGACGGCACCATTGAAATTGTTAAATGAAATTTTAAGTGCCGACTTATCACAGGCTCAGCGGTGGAGGCAAACTTTCGAAATAATAAAAAAAATATCTCAAAGACATGTGAAGTTACTTATTGTCTGCCTAGGAGTGTGACATGCATAAGCTAAAATAATAACCTAAAACTTGTTTGTCAAAATTAATCGAGCGCATGAGCAAATATTATGATCACTTTCTTATCATCCGGGCAGTACCTAATAGCTAGACGATAACGGATTGTACCTCTAAGGCCAAACATTGCGGCACAATATGGCGCCATGTCAGCGCACGGCAAGAGGCCCGCGCTCGAGTTTATCGCAACGATATGCCCATGCCGCCTCTCGATCATGCTCGGCAGAAAGGCTTGTATAATCTGTAATCACGTGACACATCCTAGTGGCTTTTGTTTTGAAGTGTTTCAATAAAGATGACGCATGTCCATTATGCGTGGCGTAAAAAAAAATGTTCCGCGTTACATTATACGACATTTATAAATGAATGAGACATGATATAGAACGTATGATACGAAAAGAAATAGCAGTCTATAGACATGCAATGTAATTACACAAAATGTCGTAATTTGAGTGTCTTAGTTTCGGCAAGTGAAATATCTACATCGAATTTGTAAATAATAAATCATCGATACGTACCCAAAAGTGAGCCAGCAAGTTGACCTCGATGAGGCGGACGAGAGCGTCGGGCGCGAGGTTCGAAGCCTGCGCGCGGCACCAGGCGCCTGCGTTGCTGACCACTATCGACACGTCGGCCAACCTGCGCATCCTACACGCCAGCGAAGTCACCTGATCCCGCGCGCTCAGGTCCACCGTGAAGCCGAGACACTGGAAACAAAATTGAGACTGCGCTAACCCACACAGGGGCACCAGTCTAAGGAATCTAGTGATATTAGAACCCTGGCTACTTCAATCACTAGTGGAAAGACAAGAGTACTAGTACGTCTACTTTACTTTCCAGTCCGATAATAGCTACCGATCGAGCCGATGTCCGGCCCTCTCGGGCACCCTCGAATCGTAATGCTAAACGGGTATTCAGTGACAGCGCAAGCCGAGGTCCCTTCTCGGGGGCTCTTTAGCCTAATCACTCCATGGAACGTCATGGCATAGAGCTTGGTGGGCTCCCAAACCGGTAATGATAATAATAGCGTGACGGCCCGAGCCCTCGAGCTTAGTCACCATAACGCGTAATAATAATACGCAGAGGTTCAGGCTAGTCGCCCCGAGCGCCCAGCTACCGCAATTCCGGCGAAACTGTAAAGGCCCCTAAGGCCAACATTGTTCATCAAGGAAGCCCAAAAAAAAAAAGAAAATGATTAAATGATGAGATATATACTTACTACAAAAAAAACATGATTGTCATAATTTTAAATGATCAAATCAAATGGTCACGCAAGTCTTCGCTATTGCACAATTGTTCTGGTCCGTTCGGGAAAGTACCACGGCCTCACAGAAGACCAGCGTGAAGTGGGAGCGCTATACTTCTCCGTTTCGTCTGGTGAGTGGGGTAACCCTACGGGTGTTGCAAATGTCGATGGGCGGCGGTTATCACTTAGCATCAGGAGAAACGCAAGCTCGCTGGCCACTTTCTCACATAAAAAAACATGCTCATTAAAACTCAGAAAGTAAATAAAAGTTGTTACATGTGATCTGATTCCGGGCCTGGTGAATACAAAATAGAATTTCATGTGTCATACAATAGGGGAACAGTTTGTTTTATACTTCTGGACTTTCACCGAGTCCCGTCCGTTTCTCGGTCTTATGCTGCACACAGACCATTTTAATTGTTATGTTTACATTTATTTTAAATTTTTCCAATATTATTTTATATACTGTGTAGTTACATAATTTTCTAAGTTTTTTATGTATCTATTGTGATTAGACCATGACAAAGTTTCTTCATATTCTTCTTCTTCTTCAAATGAAGATTGATTGATCAAGGCAATGAAGTTGTACAGCATACCTCACCGTCCCTGCTCCGTATGTGGTTGATGAGGGCATTGTTTCTTCGTGCGTCGCTGTCCCAGCAAATCACGGTAGCGCCGAGCTCGGCGAACTGTAAGGCCAGCTCGCGGCCCAACGCACGCCCAGTGTCCGTTATCTGAGTTTTTTTTTTTATGTCAAAAGTTTCCAAGCGCGCTGACGGTTCACCTGATGTTAAGTGAATGCCGCTGCCCATGGACATCTGCTACGCGTTGACAACCTTTTAAAAATTGGGCTCCAGCCATCTCACTCACCAGACGAAACGCAAAACTACTTCCACTTTACGCCGGTCTTTCATCGTGGTTCTTACCCGGACGAGCCTGCCCATTCGTACAACAGGCTGCTGCGTGGCCCTGCCACCGTATAAAAGAGCAACAGCGAGTGTTTACTTCCATGCTACTGGCGGGCTACGGCTTCTAAAGCATTACGAAAGGCTTTTCAGGTAAATCTGCCAGGCGTCGATGAACACAGAAAGCGTTATAGCATCAGATGTATGGATAATGTTTCTACCCTACTACTGAGAAATGATATATGAAGATAAGGGGGTCTCAGTGAAAAGTTCGTTATGTTACACAACAAGATCTCTGAATTGTAGCATTACCAATGGTGCTCTGCACAAAGGAGGTGGGTTGCATATCATCATAATTTTTAATATTTCTCATTCGGTTAACACATTCGCTGAGCGTTACGACTTTCGTGACATAGATGGTGGTTTGATTCCCGCTCTGGATTCGTATTTTGTGTAACTCACAGATAACCTTTCCGAGTCTGGTTGATTCTCCTTGTTTAATTTGTGTTTGTAAAACGCCTCTACAACACAGGAGGACTATCTTGTTCTAGGAATGGGCAATGTACTACTCAAAAGTTTCTTGATATTTGAAGCTTGGTTGATTATTGCTTTTAATAAGGAGAGTAAAACTATATCATTGATTAGTCAATAATTGGATACAAATCATATATATGTATATATATATATATATATATATATATATATATATATATATATATATATATATATATAATTTAATATATAAATATATATAAAGATGTATACTTGTATAAATAAATAACAATTAGCTTCTACTTTTAAGTACAGTCCATATCTTAGGTCGAATTTGTCTTTAACAGGTGTTCACGAACCAGTATTTTGAAAGATGTCTTACTTTTTGCGTTTCTTACGTTATCGGGCAAGGAGTTCCAAAGATGTATAGCTTGGATAGTAAAGGAGTTAACAGAGAACCCGGTAAAGTGCGTTGGAATGCATAATTTATTCGTGTTAGACGACCGAAGTACCCTATCATGAGATGAGGAGAGATATAAGTTTTTGAGGTAAGAAGGGGAGGAACAATCATTTAAAATGGAGAAAAGCACAAGCAAAATTCTGGACTGCCGCCTTTGCCGAATAGTAAGCCAATTAAGTTGAGATCGATATTAGCCCATTGAAATACTCGTCTAATATAGGACAGTGACGAACCAGAACGGTCTCTCCGTACAAACTCTTCATCGTTGGCGGTATCAGCACCCGCACTATGGCAACGGCGCACGTGGAGCATAACTTGACAATCAGCACCAAGGTATCCAACGCCCAAAGAGGGACTACCGTCACCTTTCCTGCCCCCCACCATGGCAGCAACCAAGTTTCCTGGAAAGCCCGGAACTTCCTGGCGAGCGTTCTTATGTAACGGAAGACCAGACCCTTGGAACGCATAAGGCTCATAACAGTATACAAATGTACAACACCATTAGAAATAACACTCTAAAATGACAGACAGAAATGACAGCATTTGGTTTTGCTTTTTTTACATAATGAACAATGGGCAGTTTTTAAATATTTAATGACTTAAAACTCGACGTAATTATATAGTCTATCTATGGCATGTGCGAGGAATCCATACATGCAAAAAAGCTTTGCAAACCGTGTCGTCCCATAAAAAACACTGAAAGCAACTAGTTATAGTATAGTTATCCGTTTTTTTAGTTAAATAAAACAAACTTAATATATCACAGCGTTTTCAAAGGCCACTTTGTATGTCGTAGAAATCGCCTGTTCAATCACTGAGAGAAGTGCTGATAAGTTATTTTTAGTGCATACCATGTTTAAAATCTCTGTGCACGCCACTGGTCTATAGTGTAAATTGAGGAGGCTGCGGAAAGTAAATGGTGCATATATAAGTTTTTTGTGTAAAATATGAACATACGGGAGTTAAGATAAAAAATATATGAAGAAAAAATGAGCCGTCACGGGACGCCTGGCAAATGTGAAACATCGACATTATTTTGTAAAAGTAATATGCAGAAAAGGACAGATTGTGATAGGAACTAAATATGTCATAATGATAAAATAAAATATTACGATTATAATTTCCAGATAACGATGACTATTTATTGAATAAACATTTATTTTCAAAAATTTACGAATTTATTTCAAATCGTGACTACTTAATTCGTGACTTCGGTAATAGTTACATTCGATGTTGCCTCTGAGGACGCTATTACTGTGACAATTGGTCGATGGTAACTGAAGTATGTTACAAAAGTATTGGACATAACATGAAAATATATAAAGAAAATATATATATAATACGAAATGATGTCATTTAGTTTTTTAATAGGAGAAATGTACACAACAATCATCATCAATCCACTTCCATCTTATAGCTTAACGTGTGAAGCACACATATCACCAGTAGATGTTTGGGACGCATGCGTCGCCACGCCAGAAATCGGTTTTATGTGCGGCTATAGATGTTTCACATCAAAAAAGGGGTAAATACAGTAAGTTTTATTGAAATGTGTTCGCGTAAATTATTTGATAACAGAGAATATATTACATATATAAACGCTGGCTACAATTCAACGTTACTTATAAAATTTGCAATATTGGTGTGGTGGAGAGCCGGTACACGCTGGGTATGAAATATGAATGACATATTTGAAACACCAACATTCATTGTAGAATTCGTAAACGTAGTGATTACAGTCTCTTTGTTCGCACCAGAATAGTAGAATTCGTTCGTTTCGTACGTTTATTTTATACGCTAAGGCACGGTGAAAGATTTTTGTTGCCAGCCTACCTACGTACCGTTAGATTTTTAATTGACCCCGAAAAATAGGTAGAGTCAGCTTTCTGACTAATTAATATAGGTAATAAATTTTCACTAGGAAAAATTAAAGCCAAAATCAATTTTCAAATTTACATGATTTACACAAAACACAGATTTTTAAAAGAAGTTGCTGGCTGTTATTCAAGTGTGGTAAATTAAAAAAAATATTTTGATAGCACGACGTTAAAATTAAAACCTTTTTGTGTTACAAGACGTTAAATTAAAATAGTACTTTCTTAAGTTCTTTCGACGTTTCAATTTATGAAAACAATTATTACGAAATGTCGGCAAAACCTCTGCAAAAAGAACGAGAAAACAGATCGGCGGAGAAGAAGGATTTAACCTTTCACCCTTATAACATTACCCCGGAAACAGCTCATACTGCCGTTTTACTGCTGGAATCACCTGAAGCAGAGATATTATGTCAGGTTGGGTTTATTATGTTATTTGGCAATAAAGTGTGTTCTGAATCGTGTCCAATAGGTATCTAATATTCAAAGGTGAATGCCTTACACTGTATTACATCACAAAAATTAAACGATTACTCCACATATCTTGGACAGATTCAAACACCCATGGTATTTGAAAATTGTTAATATTGTGTAACATAATAATATTCCAGTTAATTATTACGTTTTTTAAATTTATAAATCTTGACTAACTTTACGATAGTGTGTAAGAATTGTTGAATGGAACACGTTTAAATCGACTCAACAATTTCCACCACACCTGTATCTGGAAAGTAAAAATTCTCAATCACTGCCTTTTCAAAAATAGGACAGAACCGTTCTTAATAAATTTGAAGATAAATAGCCATTCTAATGTCAACGTCGACAGACACTACGTGCAATAACGAAGTTCTCCGCTCAAGACACGCAAAACCTCCAGATATTATTTGACTTGGACGCCATACGCTATATCCTGCCCCACGTTGAGCACTCCGAAGTGAACATCAGGCGTTTCGCGCTGAAGGCCTTGGCCCAGCTGTGCCAGCTGCCCCGTGGGCCGGAACGAGTGCTGGCCAATCCCGAGAACCTAAGAAAGGTGGCCACAATGCTGGTCAAGGTAAGTGCCGATTTATCGCGTTTATTTTTGCAATAATGATGTGACTTGAATCAAAGTAAGTGCCTTTTGGTGCCAAGAATCTGTGTTTACAACAACGATATGACGTCAAGGCAACTTACGCTCCTCCTGGGCTAGGCAGTGCATTTACTACCCACGAGTAGATAGATCACCGTAGACGGAGAGGTGTGTTCATTAGGTTAGGTTGGTGCATATAAAATGTCGGATTTTCTTTAAATGTTAACGTTTGTCTCTCTGTTTTATTTAGGCTTTTGTTTTTTGCGTTACCTGGTTTGTATTCGTACTGTCCATTTCATATGCATACCATATGCATGCATATATTTCATATGCATAACCCAGTTCGTAGCATTCCATGATTTTTTTAAATTAAATCGCAATAACTGTACTACAACATTATTAGTTGTCACTATTTCATAACTTCAACCAACATCTTTCAAAATTCCTTTAGAGAATATAATTTAAAGTGCTTATATATGCTTGTCATTTTGTTATTTTGTTTTTGTAGGTTGAAGATATATTCGTCTTGGAATTCGCGTCCCTGGTACTATCAGAGTTAACAAGAGAGCCTCTTGGTTGTGACCAGTTGATATCCGCGAACATCCTTAATACCCTGTTCTCTAGAATGAAAAATTGCCCCGATCCTGACGTGCAGAACAACTGCTTGCAGGTATTAATGTCTGCAAATTGAGTATATGATGTCTTATCTTTAATTTTTTATGTTATTATTAATAGTTTTATGTTGGATAGTTTCTGACGTGCAATGTCCACCTGAAAATATTGTAGTACCTTAGTAATAGTACTGACTGAGGCATTTAACGCCCAACGTTGCAGTTAACCTGAGTTACCTGTAGTTCTTAGACTCAATATGTGGCCTGTAATATGCAGATATAAATAGAAAATAAAAAAAAAGTGTCATGGGACACAGCTTTACATTATGTATTGATTAAACAAGAAATGAAATCACAGCTTATGACACTACCTAAATGACTGGTGAAAATAGTAGAAAATGAGGAAATGGTAATAGAAATGTAATGAAAACTCTGCTATTCTGCTAGTGTTAGAAATAAACAGCGAGCGCGAGTCGCTGAAAATCGAAGGGGGGTGCATAACGGTTTTTCGTTACGTGACGATTTCTAACAACTCAAAGCTTAAAGGTAATTCGTTACAAAAACAAAAAGAAAGATGCTCGGCTGTTGGACGGCATTATTACTTCTTTTTAAAAGCCACATAAGATTAGCTTGCATTTAAATATGTTAACAAATCTGGTACATCTTAAAATGATTATTTGTTACTTCTTAAAAGCCACCTAGGATTGGCTTGAAATTTCTTACGCTAACAAAATCGGCCAAACAGACGCTGAGCAACCTGCTCGACGATCCGGTCTGCGCGTCGGAGGTGACCAAGAGCAACCAGTTCAACTGGCCCTCGATTCTGGCGCTGATGCAGAGCCAGTACCTAGCGATACAGCACGCCGCGCTGCGGACCGTGGACCAGCTGATACGGCGCTACGGCGACCACGCGGTGCAGAAGAGCTTCAGCGCATCCGCGGGCGTGCTCGACTTGTGCGACATACTAGAGGTTGGTCGAGGGTTTACGCTTTCACAAGCAATTTTACACGGCGGTAGGGCCACGCGGCAGCCTCGGCTGTTGCACGAATGGGCGGGCTCGTCCGGGTAAGTACCACGACCTCACAGAAGACCGGCGTGAAATGGAAGTATAAGACACTCGCGTTTCGTCTGGTGATGTAGCTGGTGCCAAATTTTCAAAAGGTTGTTAACGCATCTGGAACCCTCGCGTGTAGCAGATGTCCATGCGCGGCGGCATTCACTTAACATCAGGTGAACCGTGTGCTCGCTTGGCAACTTTTTACATATTTTTTTATCTGACTGTCTATGTGATGTCCCCATAGACGAACAGAACGTGAGTACGAGTTCGTCTCGCACTGGACCGGATTTAACCGACTTCAAAAAGAAGGAAGTTATCAATTCGGATGTTTACATTTTTTTTATGTATGTTTGGGCATAACTTCGTCATATATGACGAATTCTTTTTTTTCGAAAGGGTTTCATTCCGAAATGGTTCCATATAAACGGAACTCTTCGAAATCTGACGGGACATCAACAGCGATTGCTGCTATCGCATAAATATGCATGCACTGCTTTACTTGTACCGTTGTAATTAATAGTTGCGTGCATCGTTTCATTTCAAGTCGGTTCTCTTTTTTTTAGCTACAGCTAGCTAGCCGTGATAGCTCAGTGTCCGGGCGCTCGCCTTCAATTCAATATACTCGAGCAACCCGAGTTCGATCCCCGGTGCCGGCACCAATGAAGTTTTTAACTTTAAGTGCTGACTTATCACGTGCTCCGCGGTGAAGGAAAACATCGTGAGGAAACCTGCATATTTTCGAAATAATAACAAAAAAAAATATTTTTCGTAGATATGGTGGACTATGCCCTGATACCCTCTCTATAGAGGAGGCCTTTGCCCAGCAGTGGGACATGTATAGGCTGTTACTTTCTCTTTTTTTTTT